GCCCATACCGCCCCCGCCAGCCCGCTGCTGGATTTCTACGTGTATTGTTTTAAGCAATGGCTTAAAACAATAGACTTGCAACTAGGTGCTCTTGAAGGTCCCTTCCAACCCAAACCATTCTAGGATTCTACGATCACGCATCCGTCTGGGCTTGGGTGAGCTCCTGAATCAGTAATCCAGTTCTTTTTCTTCCAGCTGGCCAAGACGCCTGGGTGGTTCCCTTCACCGTAAACACCAGAGCACTCCCCAGTGCTCCAGCCTCCCACGCCACGCAAGGTGGAGCGGGGCTGTTATCCAACGCCACTTTCTCTTTTACAAATGGGAGAAGGGAGAAGCAGCGGAGGCGGGAGAGTCGCTCAGGGTTACGCGGGAAATAATTCAGTGCTGAACGTAACTCTCGGTTCCTCACTGGGGCTTGCTCCTCACCATCTCCCTCCTTCAGCCTCCACGCTTTGGGAATGTGGGTTTTTTTCTTTAAATTAAATACACCATGACTCTTTCATGCCCACGAAGAAACCTTTTATGGTTTTCCTGACTGCAAAACGACGCAGCACCGCCTGCCTGAGCCTGCAGGCTGTTTGAGACAGTAACGAGAGAAACGGGGGCTGCTCTGCACGAGCAGCACCTCCTCTCGAGGCTCCGGGAAACGCCGCGTAAACGTGAACGGGGTTAAAATCCACCAGGGACAGAAAGAGCCCAGAAAGCAAACAGACCATCGATCGCCTCCTCCGCACCTGAAGCGTTTAGGTCGGTCGGATTTTGGCTCCACGGGTGAGACAAGTTACACAGAACCTGATTATTTCTTCCCGGACGAGGAGCACGAGGCCGCTCGGCCAGGAGAAGACGACGGAGCGATACTCACCGTCAGAAGCTGAACCATATCCACAGGTCTCTGCGAAACGGGGTGAGGAGACGGCTCTTGTTTGAGAGCAGACTGGGGTTCAGGGCGATTGAGGGGCAATCCCGGAGGTGCTCCGGGACCCGACGTCGTCGGGATAAACATGGATTGCTTGGGAACCGCCTGAGGTTGGTGCGGCGACGGAAGCTCCTGTTTCATGGAAATGGCAACGGGCGAAGGGTAGGAGGTCTGGCTCGTGTCCGCTTGTGCCCTCTGAAGGTGGACGTGAGGGTCCAGCTGCGCCGCATGCCTATTTACAGTGGGGTGGTGACTCTGTTCGGGTCCTGCTGTCGGCGGGCCCTTGGGATCCTGGGGGATCTGAGGAGTCTTGCTGCGTACTGGCTGGCTGGGGTGCGAGTGTTCGCCCTCCGGTAGACCCTAAGAAGCAGGTGGTGGGGGAAAAAAAAAGGAAAGATTTTAGGCCACGGGCGTATTAGGAGTCATTAGTTCAACGATAAGGCTGCCAGGACACAACTGGATCGCTGGTGGACATATTGGTGAGTCTCCACACCATCAAGTCAGTCCTGCTGCGGTGGTGCCTGGACCAGCCTCCCCTTCCAAAGTTGCTCCACCAGCCTCTCGCACCCGCCGAAAGCTGAAAACGCATCCCCTGAACCCCAAGCCCATCCTTGGCCATGCCATCCGTCCAAGGATGTCCAACCCATGGGCCACCTCTACACCTAGAAACCTTCTCCTCCGCCACCTCTACATCTAGAAACCTGTAGGTAGGTTTGAGTCCTAAAGTAGTTAAGAAAAAGGTGTTTTTTAGCTTCCTCTAATGCCAAGCAATATTCAAACCCCACTTCCCAAAGAAAAATTGTTCCTCTTGTGCCAAGAACTTCTGTAGGGTCTGGAGAATAACCACGGAGAGCCAAACTCAGCTCCTGCGGCCACGCAGGGCCGTAATTAGCTCAAAGCGATCCAGATTTCTGATAGAAGGAGAAGAAAAGGTTTTATCTCTCACCTGAGATGGGGTCATGCTCCGGGAAGGCAGCCCAATCGGCGAGGCACCCGGGAACTGCGGATGCCCAAGCTGTGCCGCCGTATGGTAATTCCTCATGTCTCCATAGACGGACCGATAATCGTGGAAGGAGCTGCCGGTGGGGTGCATGATCTGCACCCCGTGCGGCACCACCACCGGCTGCGTCAAAGGCAGTCCGGGCAGCTGGCTGCTGGAGGGGACGCTGAGCAGCCGGGCTTCGCTGTGAGGAGAGTGTGCCATCTTGCCTTCGGAGGATTTCGGCGTCTCTTTTCCGGGCTGCGGGGTCTTACTGACGGGAGGAGTTTTCACAGCCCCTTCGGGCGTTCGGGATTGTCTCGTTTCCGAGTGGTGCTCGCCCACGGCGGCCATGTGTGGGTGCATGATCATCCTGACGTCGCGGGTGACGTTGTACTGGTCGAGCCTGATGCTCGTGGCGTGCATGCGGTAATCCGGTTGCATCACCAGCACGTCGGACTGGACGGGGGCTGGCCCCCGGCACACCGTGGTGTGGTGGTAGTGCATCTCCTCCTCCGGAGCGTGCTGAGACGACAGAGGAGGCATGACTATGTCCCGTATCGGAGCTGGCTGGGGTGTGCTGGATCGCTGAGGTTTGATCTCTATCTGGGGTTGGAGAGCAGCTCGGGGGGAGTGGAGCGCTTCCGGGCGGATGCCGTAAGGGATGCCGGAGAGAGGAGGGGTGTTCATCCTCACCTCGCCTTGGGACAGATGGCCCAGGGACACAGTCTGCGTTACGCTGTGAGGGGGCATGATAACAGATTGCTCGGGATGCATGCTGGACATGTATTGAGGAACAGGAATTCCCGGCGCCAGCATGACCGGGGTACTGCTCGATAAAGCCGGAGACGAGGTACTGCCGGGATGACAAGCCCGCGGAAACGGCGACGGCGAGTGCCCGCTGGTACGCGGCGAGTGCGGCTCCTGCTTGGTGACCCCCAAGTGGGAAATAGCCCGGTCAGTTGGGGTGCTGGGGCCTGAGCTGACGTGGTTCGCTTCCGAATGCATCTTCCCAGAGAGGGAAGGGTGGTGAGGACTGACTCCGGGACTCAAGTTGGAGGGTTGGAGAGTCTTGGTCTCCACTTTGAGAGCAGCTGGATCGGACAGTTTTTTGTTCACAACCATCTGGTTGTGGACCAGTACGGGTGGAGTGTTTACGGTCTGCGTGAGGACTTTACTGGGCTGAGACGCTGGAGTCTGGCCAGAAAGGTGGGACGAGTCGGACTTCTCCAGCGCAGCGCGCTCCTGTTTAACGGAGGAGATGACGGGCGACGTGTTGTAAGGCTGCGTTCCTAGTACCAAAGAAGAATGGGTGGAAACAGTCCCGTAGCCCGCCGAGGTCTGGGAGCCTTTCGGCGTCGGCTGAGATGGCGTGATGGGTTCCTGTTTAATCTGGGATTTGGATACGGACTGCTGAAACTCGATGTCGACGGCGCTGGCTGGGGGAATCTGGCTGATCTTGGCACTGATTCGCTGAGGGCCTTCCGTCTTCTGCCCCGAGTAACTCAGCAGCACTACGCCTTCCGAGGTGTTCACCCGCAGCCCCGGACTGGAGCCAGTCTCTACAGGCCTCTCCTCGATAATAGACATGGATCCCGGATGAAACCTACTGTTATCGTTCGTGCTTGACCTCTGCTTGAATTTCGGCGAGGGGGCGTTGACGAGACACGTCTGGGTTTGGGGAGCTTGCTTCACCAAGGTGATCCTCGGAGCCTCCTCCAGATCCACGCTGTGGGGCATCCTGCTTATCACAGAAGTAGCTTTGGGAGCAATCACGGTGCTTATCTTTTCCTTCTCACCGAACACCGGTGCTTCGGCCACCGGCGGGTCCAAGGAGTTGGTGACGGGAACTGCCGGCTTCTCCTCCGAAACCGGTTTTATAGCCTCTACGGCGGGGTGGAGGGGTGCCTCCTCCAAACGAGGGGCACTCACCGGCTCGGCGTGCGTCGTCGTCACGTGCGTTGAGGTTATGCTCGTCGCTGAGACGTACTTGGGCTCCATGAGTATCTTCCTCAAAGTGCTGGAGTTCGTATCGATATCCGAGGCCTTC